GTAACGCAAGTATTTAGCTACAATATGAGAATCCTGGGCCAAGAACGTTTTCTAATTGTGGCATGCCGAACTGAGCTCAAGTGGAAATACTGCAATACATTACATTAAATGTAAAAAAATCATAATTGTGTATAGTGATCCAAAGATTATATAATAGATCCTACACCCGTTAATGAAAATTGATTTGACTCTTGATATCTGTTTCCTCACCTTGAATTGTTTTCTCAAACTCTCTTTTCATGATTTCTTTGTGTTGAAGTTTCTCCTGTAAGGACTTCGGTGCTATATTGAGCTCCTCTTAGAATTAAGCAAAATAAAAATGAAAACACCAGCTGCTATGAGAATACAGTGATATGATCATATACTGTCTGTATGTGTTATGAAGTTGAGCAAAATGACAGAAATGCTGAGTGCATAAATGTGATGTTTATTTATTTTTTTTACATATGATACAAGAGACATTTGTCTTACCTTATATGATGAAACCGCTTCACTGATGGGTCTGAATGTGTGATTGACGTGTTTCTGTGAATCTCTGCACACTAAACACACCGGCTGTTTGTCCTCCAGACAGGAGAGTGTTTTAAGAGGGTGGATCAGTTTCTGATCTTCTTTTGGTACATCAGTTAATGAAACAAAATGCATTCAAAAGCACGTTGAAGAACACAAATATTGATAATAAAAAGACTCAATACACTTTATTTCCGTGTTTATTTATTGTGCCATGTTTGTTGGTGCATTTAAATTTCACAGAACCATTGACTTCTAAAGTACAACACATGCTTTAAAACTGTTTTGCACCCCAGTGAATCATATTCATATTCAGTCTGGTCGGAAACAGAGGGACATTTGAAACAACTTGAGAGAGAATAGAAAATGTCACTCACCTAAACTTCACCTAGCAGCATACTAAAAAATATGAACCAAACAACTGCAATGCATATAATAATCAAAGAATATAAATTTGTATGTTTTTTATTCTAATTTCCAATGCTTAATCCAACTTTGCCTTAATTTGAAACAAAAATAACATTTAAACATAGGTGTCTGAATTTTATTTACTTGATTTTAACCATCTGAACTGTTGTATGAAAGCAATATGTCAGTGTGTCTGTAATGCTGATATCAGTCATGTGATCAGCTGCAGCCCAATCACAGCTTTACTGATATTCAGATCAACAGCACTCTACTCGTGTGATATGGATTCAATATTGGAAACATGATGAAAGCAGGAAGATCCAGACCTACAGGTATAACATTAAGACATTATATTAACTATTGAACAGTAACATCCTCATATGAGAATAACTATGAAAGAATGGAAAGACAGTGTCAGTGAAGGTGGTTGTGTATGTGTGTAGATGTGTGTTAGTTACAGGATCAGAGAATAACACTGTTCCTCTGTCATAGTCCAGACGAACTCTCACACGCTCAAGCTTCTGTTTGACAGTAAATCCAGACCATTTATACAGTCTGTACTGCACACTGCAGACATCAGTGTTAAAGAAATCCTCTCCCTTCCTCTGGTTTGATGCTGTAGTTACTCCCAGACCCCAGGATGAACTCTCTTTAACCTCCACATCCCAGCAGTGGGTTCCTGAGTTAAAACCCTCTGAACCCAGAACACAGCGATAGATGTCAAATCTCTCTGGATTATCAGGAAACGGTTGACTGTACTCACTCCATCTTAGACTGGTCAGATCGTCAGACAGGACGAGATCTGGATGAGCCGTATTTGGATCCAGAATCACAGGAGCTGATAAGACACAATCAACAGCTCATTTTATTCTGATGTTCATATAATGATCAAGAGTGAAGCATAAACAGATCAGTGGCAGAAAAATTAGGTATGCAGTATACTGTATGCAGTGCATTGGGGCACCGCACATAGGGTAGCACCATTTTGCCGAAATTATTCTTTGAAAATCTTTAATAAAATGTTATAAATAATCAAAAGTTTAGTTGTTAAAATAATGTAATGAAACGTTTTTATTTAATGGTTGTTTACCATTTTAATAAGTTCAAAAATGTATTTATTATAAACTGAGTATATCAACCGCTCACCCTTCGACACATTACTGCCACAGACCGAAAACAAAAGACAAAGGGGGAAAGAAAAACAATGCATTAAAATGAGGACAGCAATATCCAAGTCAACTAACAGATTGGTTAAGCTTACCCTATTATTATTATTATTATGAATTTTCATTGAAATCATTCAATATTTAACATTGCCTGAGAGGATATTAATGTTAATATCAGTTAATTTCTTAGTATCTCATTCCACCTTATTTTTCAATGCGGAAGTAAGCTGTTTTCTGTGAATGTGCGAGACTTCCGGGTTCATTAGCCGCTGTAGGGAAATAGCGAGGAGACCAGTGTGTTCATATTCAAATAATATGGTAAGACACACCAATTTGCCATATCAAGCAGCACAACAAGCTGTTTTGTACAGCTAAAAATAACTGGAAGCAAATGACACCAGAAGCCAGACCCATGAAATTCATAAATGGCCGTGCCCACACTTATGGGAAAAATAAGGTGGATAGCTAAAAAAAAAAGTCACAATATGTTTGTGAATGGGCGTTTGATTTACACGTATTCTTGCTGAGTTTTTTTTTGTACTTCAGTAAAAAACAACTTTGACAAAAATTTTACAAAAAAGTCAAACTATAAAAAAGTTATAATAGTGATTTTATTATCTCTAAATATAAATCCAGAAGCAAAACACTTGAAAAGGGCTATATTACAGAGTGGAAATAGTAAATGCGACCATGAGTGATCCTCTGCTGCCAGTGGTCATAGTGGGAATATGCCAGGTGAAATAAACAAAAATGCAGATGTTCTTTCAAATTAACTTTTGTAGCGTCTGCGTAGGATCATGCTGGAGTGTTGGACTGTTTATGGCTTAAAAGACCCTTTTAGCCTTTTGACATTTGCATATAAATTACAGTTCTGGTCAGAGATGTTACTTGTATAGGGGTTGTAAATTGCCAAATGGTTCTTCGCCGTCAAAAAAAAGATTAGAACCAGCCCCCACGAGAATCCTGGAATCTTCTGATCAAAAACATTCCACAGAGAGCTGTGAATGGCCAAACGAACACACACACACCCAAACTAACACACACACACACATAAAGACATTTCTTTATTTTAGACTATAATTAATCAGTTATAATTGTATCTGGTATATGCATGTGGTGTGTACATTCCCTTGTTAGATTAGATGAGTTACCACTCGTTATTTGTATTAGTTAAAGCCATAAAACACTTATATTCAGGTGTATGTATGTATCTTTCGTTTAATCTATTCCAAATGGTTGCTTCTTGGTATCAATGTTACCTGTTTTTCATTCCTCGGACAATGACGTACAGTATGTGATTGTGAAACGCATCATATGACTGGTACGATATTTTGGGTTAAAACTACGGATATTCCAGACTGGCCATAAAGCATGCAAATGAGCCATAAAACAAGAGACAAAGAAAGATTCTCCCGCTCAAAATCCATGTCTCTCATTGGCCAGCAACACTGTTCCTCTGTCACAGTCCAGATTCACTCTCACACACTCAAGATCCTGTTCAACAGGAAATTCATTCATAGACTTTTCAGGCAGTCTACACTGCACACTCCAGACATCAGTGTTAAAGAAATCACGTCCCGTCCTCTGGTTTGATGCTGTAGTTACATCAGCACTCCACCACGAACACCCTTTAACCTTCACATCCCAGCAGTGTGTTCCTGAGTTAAAACCCTCTGAACCCAGAACACAGGGGTACCAGTCAACTCTCTCTGGATTATCAGGAAGTAGCTCAGTGGCTCCACAATGAATTCTGTATTTCACACTGGTCAGATCATCAGACAGGATGAGATCTGGATGAGCCGTGTTTGGATCCAGAATCACAGGAGCTGAAGAGACACAACAGCTGCTTTTATTCACACATAATGTTAAAATCTTCTAATCCACCCCCTTGCATCATTTCCAGTGTAAGGGTGCGAGCACAGATCTTCTCCAGACTCACTGTTCTGGACGATGTCCTGCATCTTCTTCCAGACTCTGAACGGCAGGTTGCCCAAGCACATCAATCCATCAATCAAAGTTTGTGGATCCGGCTGTGAGATCTGGACTCTGGAAGAACATTCAGGATCAGAACTGCAGGATCAGAAGATCAGAAGCAGAGAGAGCAGAGACAGCAGCTGATCACTCACCTTTCCATTGAGACTGGAAACTCCTGCAGAACAAACACACCATTTATCATCAACAAATGAATGAATGAATCAATCAATGGATGATTTGAAATCAGACCTTCAGAAAGCAGATGTCATTGGCCTTCATCATCTCCTCTATGTATTTGATTGTGTGTGAAAGAGCTGAGATGTCTCTGTTCAGCTTCTCAATCATCTGCTTCTTCTGCTCCTCTTCCTCCCTCAGTGCAGTGATTGTAGCTTCTGATGCTCTGTGTGATCAGCTTGAGGCTGAAATCAAACCACATTCACTTCAGTCATCTGAATCAACACATGTACAGATGCACATTAAATGGATACTTGAGCCAAACCATTCTCTTTGCTTAACTGTTCCATTTTGTGGCGATACGGCTCAGTAGGTACCGATATGGGGCCGTTTGCATAAACTGCTTAGACTAGTCTTAAAAAGTTAGATATCTATTTTCTTCTTCTTCTTCAAGACTGGTCATAGCTTTTCAGTTACATAAAGGTAAATTATTCTAATTTTAATTCGAAAAGTAAGAGCCTTTGGCTAACTGCTAGTCAGTCAAACTAGTTCATGCAACTGGGCCCTGGTTTCATTTTCCACTGTGGGGCTGTTAACAGAGCTCGTAATACAAATCTGTCTGTCATTGCCAGGGTAACGCAAGTATTTAGCTACAATATGAGAATCCTGGGCCAAGAA